TCAACGAAGCATTTGACTTGCTAATAGCAAGAAATGGTTCAGAAGAGGAGGAATTTTGAAGATTAAGAATATAATAATCGGTCATCAGACTGACCGATTGATAGTAATCGTCCACTTCCATTCTCAAACAACTACAGAAGAAGTTACCCGAGAATTTTCAATGTCAGAGATCTTCCGATAGATCGATAATCGAGAAATCGCAGTGCCTGAAAGTCTCTTTCTTGCATGCATACAAAATAGCGAGCATTTTTCGATTGAATTGTTTCGTTCGGGAGAAATGACTCAATGATTGAGCGGTGGAAAAGCGCTGAAGCATTGTTAAAAGTTCATTTTGCTTGAAAAGAGACGTCGTCAGCAATCGGTCATTTGCTGCCAATATGAATTTCTGAATGCGACCGAATATATTTGCGAAGAATTCTTAGCAAATCACGAAATGCAAGCAGAATGCAAACTTGCAGGTCAGAATGAGTCCAATTGTTGTCAACAGCAATGTCCAACCAAAGTTCGGGTGGATATTTCAGAGGTTGAACGAGCTGGGCTGCAGAGTTTTGTCTCATCTGTCACATTCATCTGTCCAATTCCTCAGTCACGCGACAAATCGCTTCAACAATCGCCTAACTGTAGAAAGAATTTGCCGTATCCCAATGAGCGGTTTCTTTGTTACAAAAAAACCGCAAATTTATTTCGTATTAGTTTTTTTTTTTTGATCAATAAAGGTTGTTTTAAGTTCGTCTATAATGCTTTAAATTCATGATTTAAAAATATAATTATTTTTTCATCAATTCAGTAGTTCTTAAAAAATTAATATTTGTTTATAAAATTCAAATTTATGGAATCAATCGGACATTATATTATATTTTAATATGACTTGGTTTCTGCATATGTCGGTCGCGTTATTTTCAATAATCTGACGAGTTGGTTTTTTCAAACCAATCCAATGTCTGACAAATACGTTATAGAATTCAGTGTTTTAATAGTGTATTATAATTTACTGAACTTTTTTTAGCCTTCATTTTACCTGATAACTAAATTTCAAAATATCTAGACATTATTCGTTCAATTATTTCATTATTTTTTGGGGAATAATAATGTTGAGGAATAAAATTATCTTCATATCATGATTTGTTTTTGATTGCGTCTAGCTGATAATTTTACTGATGATGATTTTTTCAATTAAATCAAAATTGCTTCAACAACAAATTTTGATCAGACAATCAGTACTAATTAACTTTTACAATTCCAATTTGCTCTCCTCGCACAGCTTTCAAGCGAAAAAATTATTTCTTCTGCACTTTCAAGAATAAATTTTAGCTTAAACAGCGATAAGTCCTCATACCTTTTACAATATCTTCACAGACATTGTCCATTACGCTCCCTTCCTCGGAAACAGTCGAAAAATCACTGATTTCTAACAGAATTCTCGGATTATTTGTCTTTGCTTATGGTACATTGCTTGCCAATTCATTTTCCTGAATCCTTTTTCAGAATCATCGGATGTAAAAAGAGTTTCGAACTATTCAATTCTATCAAACGATGCTTTTGCAAATCTGGACGCATATGAAAGCACAAAATTGAAGGGAAAAGTATTGGTAGAACTATTTACACTTCCATTTAACCGACCGAAAGTTTCAGTTCGTTAATATTTTTCAATAGGCTACGAGCTTCAAAGATAAATGATGTACCGCCACAGTTTTGATTTCAAACTCTAAAAAAAGAAAGGAAAAATAATTATCATCCTATATTTCTGATTTTTTCACTGCGCTTTCTGAAATAGGATGGAAAAAGGTCAAAAAAAAGGAGGGGAGAGACAAAAAGAGAGAGAGAGAGAGAGATAGGAGGAAAGTAAACGGGTGAATGATTTCACAGCGGTACCAAGAAATTTCAAGCTTCGGAAAAATATTTGCACCCATAATTTATTGACATAATTTACGGAAAATTTCTCCATATATTATTAATAAGCATGCTCAGTTTGTTGGAAGACGGATCGATGCATCGATTTAGGGCTTTCGATTTGCAGCTTTTTCAAATTCTTTTCAATTTTCGAAAACATTTCAAATAATAAATTTTTCCAAGAAGAAACTCCTTTTTTTTTTTGCAACCTTCTGTTAAATGCTTTGTAATTTTTCATCTTTTCTTACATTTTTGAATTTAACTTCGAATTAATCTATTATAGATTCTATCTTACAGTACTTAACCAGTACTGCCTTTTTCCTTCATCACTTGCATAACTTTGCTCTCAAAAATTTTCCATTTTCTCTGAATGATAAAAAATAGATTTGGTCTAAAAAATCTCTCAAATTTATCTCCAATGACCGTTACAATTGTCCATTCTTGTTTCAATGGTAATTACATTCGCTGATATGTTTGTGCAAAAGATTTTATATTCATATATTTATCTAAAAAAATTTTCAATGTCTCATTAAAAGGAAGTTGATGTACGTGCAGCTTTTAACTTGTAGAATACTTATGAGATAAAGCGGAAAATGTGCAACTTTTTTGTAGTTGAGCTGTCATGTATTTTGCATCAATTTTTATGGAATAAATTTTAATTTGTGGCAATACTTGAATAAATGTAAAGTATGTCGGCAACTCCTTTCTTTACTTTTTTTCGCCTCTATCATTTAATTATGTTTGTTCATTACATATTGTCAAATTATACTGTTTACGACCATACCACAACAAAATTAATGCCAACAATACTGACATTATCGCGATCAGCAGTATGGCAACTTTTCATTAATGGAATTAATTATTGTAAATAAGGAAATATTTTAGCAGAAGGAAAAAAAGTTATTTTAATTTTGTAAAAAATGTGTATGAAACGCTCAAACTTGATCACTAACAATATCTTGCTTTATTTCATGCTTTCATTAATTTCGAACTTCTTGCAAATGTCTAATTTTAAGTGAAATTTTTATTTTGCTTTCTGTTTATTGCAAATAATTCTTTGCATTGTTCAGTTATGTCTTGCAAATTCATTTTCTCCATCAATTTATGTTTCATTTCATTTTTTCAACAATTTTAACTTTAATATTTTGAGAAATAGATGAATAGAAGAGAACAATTTCTGTACAGAGTAAATGAATAAATGATATTCAAAAGGAATCATTTGTTCAACAGTTTTCAATTGGAACAGAAACATTTCAATTATTCCGTTCCAGTTTAATAAGATGAAAATCGGATTAATTTAAAAAAAAAAAGATCTTTATCCGATAAGCGGCAATCGGAACAGATGATTTTTGCCAACCGTACAGCAGAAATAATTGTCTGAATCAACTCGGAATGTTTCTTAGAACTATTCATCCATTAATTATCCGTAAAACTAAAAAACTGAAGTTTATACCTGTGATAAGTACCAAGCATATGTGTGTATGAAATTAATTTAGAATCCAAGGAAAATTATCAATTTTTTGAACTACTTGAAAGAACAAAAATTTCTTTGCTTTTTTTGAATTTCAGTCAGATTGACTTAATATCGTGTTTAAATCGGTGAGTTAATAAACGAAGAAGGAAGGGAGGGAGAGAGAGAGAAAGAAAGAGAGAGAGAGAGAGAAGGTATATTATAAAAGAAGGAAAGAGAGAAGGCATATCGCTAACTTCATTGGTTGATTGCAAACTGTGAACGGATAACGGCTTTCCACTGGTTGTGTCCCGCCTTTTACTTTTGAAGTACCGCCTTTTCAACATGAAAATTTCGCCTTCTTTTTCCTCTATTTCTCTTTCTGTTCTTCTCTCTCTTCCTCTCTCTCTTCTTCTTTTAGAATTTTTTAAATTTCATAATTTGTTGAAATTGGTTGTAAACTTTTGATAATATTCTTCCAATTTTTTCTCCCTATCTCGAGCTTTTATTTTTTATACTATTATTATTATCATTATTATTGTGATTATTAGGTATTGCTATTACTATAGCTATTAATATTATTGTTATTAGCGTAAAATGAGCATCAAAGCCAAATTTCATATGTTATTTAACAATACCTATTCATCAGAAGATTTCTATTAGAATTTCAGTCGTATTCAATGAAGATATTAGATCACTAATTATCTTTACATTTAGTAAATTAATCTTAGCCATTGCTTGTTACAACAGCAATTTGGTCATTTTAAGGCTATCCCATCCAATAAATATTTGTTCATTGGCTAACTTTCCATACGGTAACTTCACCAACTGTTGGCGCTAACTGTGAAATACAAAGCAAAATTATTGCAAGAATTCCATGAGAGATATGTTCGATTACTCATTGATTACTTTTTTTGATTTGAATGTTTGCGCAATCACTTTCTCACATTTAGTCCAGAAAATAAACACTTGAGCTGTGTCATACTTTTTCTTTTGTTGCTTTTGCAAAAGATAATCATTAGCTAACAAAGGGTCATATGAATTAAACTTTTTTTGCATGTTGTGTGGTTGGAACAAAATTTTTGGCGAAGTTATTAGCAGATGTACATTGTGTTTTACATTCGTTCATCTGAGAAACATCCATGTAAATTACTCTAAATAATACTGATCTTTGTGAAAAAATCGTTTGAACTTTTTTGCTGTATTTAAAATTATTTATGAAAGCTAATTATAGATGCCAAAAGAGCAATATATGTGCCAATTATGTGCCAATCATGGAGTGTTTAATCAGCCGAAAAAAGGACATAAGCAAAAATGTCCCTATCGTCATTGTCCGTAAGTTTTTGAATATTGCAATAACTGTACAAGTTGCTGTCACTTCAATTTATGCAATAATAATGATATGCTCTGCTATTTGTCACTTCTGTCCTCATTCCTTCTCTCTCCGTTTTCTTTTCTCGGGCCATTGACGGACGGAATTTTTGAAATGGCCATATGAAACCTTTTCACTTATTTAAATAATTCAAACTGCTAATAATTCTAGATGTTTTCTTCAATTTCCGTTTAGTTTAAGAAATGAATAAGTAAGTTGAAATCGGAAATGATTTTTGTCAATACGTTTTCAAAAAAAAAAAAAAAAAAACAAAAACTTCGTAATCTTTTCAGAAATGTCTCTATCAATTTAATTATTCTGCTGCTATTTTCCTTATAAAATAATTAATCTCTGAGAGTTTTTCTTCTCTTGCATGATATAGTACAAGAGAAGAAAAATGCGTAACGTCTGTGTTGCTTATTTTTTTATCTCTAAAGAGAGAAAGTTAAGATAATCCGTTTTTGAGATCAAATGTTCCCGAAACAATCTTAAATCAATTAAATAGTTGTCGTTTTAATATCAAAAGGAAGTGCAATTTTTTTCCAAAACACCAACAATTTTGTTTTTAATTTTATCATTCAGCGTTTTTAAATAATATTTTGTTGCATGATAGAATGAATTACGGCAGGTGAAAAATTTAATGATGGTCATTTCGTGCATATATGCATCAATGACCATTAATTAACGCAATAAAAAAGGTTAGGATTTTCATATTTCTATGTCAAATTAGTCGCAGTGTTTCATATCAAAGATCAACAGATATAAAAACAGCAAGCAGAAATTTCCATTTTTTCAAATTTGTCATTTCTTCATTTTTTTAATTCAAATTTTTTAATCATCACAAGAAACAATTCCATTTGTTTGCGAGACCAATAATTATGTTCGAAAAAGGAAACATTAATACTTCATGTTTTCAACAATTCGAAATCAAATAAAAGATTGATTGAGAAAGACAGCTGTTCGACAAGCAAAAAATTTTTCGGTCCTTTTTGATCTCTAGAAGTTTTAACATTCAGAGAGTTATTTATGCATGCAACCGCAAAACATAAATTAGTTAAATAAATAGATCAGATCAAGTTCATATGCAGATGTAATTTGTTTTACTTCTTTTTTTTGATTCCACACACGCAACTTTATTGTAAAACATGTGGTGAATATAAGGTTGATCATATGGCATGATTTAAATTTATTATATTTCAGCAGTTTGTTTGGTTGCAGATTATGCCTAAGCAAATTTGAAAAAAATGATCTCCAATTATTGTATCGCCGTCAAGCACATTATTATGAACTTTTGGCCTAAGAACTCAATAATTTTCAATGATTAAAAATACCTGGAGGAATATCATTTAAGCATAATTTTGTTGGTAACTGAATTCTCAGAAATGCCTAATATCTCAGGTTAAATAAGGAATTTAGTAACTTATAAATGTTGTCTAATCAAAATTTCGGATCTTTGGAATCTTTAATCACAATAACATTACAGAGAATTAAGCTAATAAAAGAAAGGAATTTAATTCAATTAAACTATACTAATAACGGAATCGCATAAAGTTGCGAAAAAAAACCTCGTTAATCTTAAATTTTCAAAATTTCTAAACCAATTTAAAAGAAAAAAAAAAGAGTAAAAGTATATAATGTCAGCAATGGACAGAGTTAGAAATGAATGCTATAAATTATCAGAGTTTTCACGAAGGGTTTGCGTGAAACGTTCTTTTCAATGATACCATCGATGCTCTCTTACAACCATTTCTCTTTTTTCCCGTATCGGTCATAGCCCCATAATTTTGATGAAAATTTTCAAAATAAAAAGTTATGATCAGCAATAATTCATGAATCATTTTGCAGTTCAAAATAATGATAATATTTTAGCATTCTTTTTTCTTCCTTCTCCTTTTTATACTGCCAAAAAAAAAAGGAAGAGGATAGGATAGGGAAGTGAAATCTTTTATTTTAGATTTTATTTTTTAAAGGGCTATTTAATTTAGCACTTTGTCTATTTCAATTTTCTCAATTCTGATTGATATGATATTGGTTTAATGGATCTGAGTGTAAATGACGATGACAAACAATAGCCTATGGCCTATTTCTCCATATATGCTATACGCTCTTTGTATTTTGAGAGGAACAATAATATTTTAGAGTTGAAAATTTATCATTGCCTTCCAATTTGTCATTTCTACAAAGAAGACGAGAATGAGAAAGGAAAAGCACTGAGATTACAACTGGTTCATTGATTAATTGCCCCGTTTTGTTGCACTATTCAGGGTTCATTTTCAAAGAACCAACCATCCACTATCACTCATATCCAATTAATTTTAATCAAAATTCATCTAACCTTCCGAAATTTTCAAATTTGCATATATGCATATGAGATTCCAATTTTTTAATTTAACCACCACACTATTCGACTCAAGAAAAGAAGGGATGAAATTAAATGAACTTACACTTTGTAGAACAATCCCACAACCCTTCCATCACAATTATTTTCTCAAATGAAACATCAAATTGAGCTATTTCATCCATCTGTTGTTCTTGATTAAATTTCTCTAATTTAATTGCTTTTGATTGCTCACATTTTAGCTACAATTTGTTACAGATAGCTTATATTGCCATTTCATATTTCTAAATCTTAACCATGTCTTTAATTGAAACGAAAAGTAAGCCCAAAATTTTTCATTTTTTATTTATTTTTTCTTTTAAAAAAATTTGATTCACTTCTTTATGGGCATAGAAATGCAAGCAAAATTGAGCTTGACTAAAAAAGTTTGGAAACAAAGACAATGACAATGATCGGTCAATAAATTGCCGTACTTTGCATATATGTTTTATGTAAATTGAAATGGAGAAAGAGAAGGATTTGATTTGTATTCGAAACTAACCTATAAATAAGGAAATCCCGAAATTCCCTCCTGTCCTCTTTGTCCCTCTCTCTTTCTCTCTCTGTTTCTGTCTCACCTCTTCAAACCCTTTTTAAACCAATTTTTTAATGATACTCACGAGAATTATTCGATTTTATTGCAATAAAAAGCATTTCTTCTATTTCCTACCTCGCAATTCTCTATTTTTACGGTCAATCCCTCGTTATGCTACCTCTCGTTGTCGATACAGACCGATTGACGAGAATACTATTATCGTCCAAGCGACCATTAATCAATCGCAAATTTTCAATGATTTTTCAAAATTTTAGAGACTAATTAAATGACATTTTTGCACTTTCATTTAGCAAATTTTTATCACAGTAAATTCAATTTTAATCTAATAGTTGTGGGATTATTCTGGAAAGTGTAATTTCCATAACGAACATATATTTTCTTGAAATAACTTTTGTTAAACTTTTTCTTCCTAAATTGTTTATTTTACTAATGTACTATAATATTATTTCAAATTTGGAAAAAATCACATAGCAAAGTCAATTATATTGTTATAAAATTAAATCTGGAGTTTCAATCAATAAATTTGATCAATTTTCACTAATAATATTTTGCAGATGTAGTTTATGTGCTCTGAATACAAAACGGCGAGCACTGGATCAGATTGAACGTCAGTTGAAGAACGGATCAGCAAATTTGCAGATTGTTCCAGGATTAATGAATGACAAGATAGATCTGTGCAATACGCGATCCTTCACTTTTGAAAGCAAAAATGCGGATGCAACAGATTCTAAGGATGATGATTACGGTAGGTAATTGCATCAATGGTTTTAGCGATATCATTTTTAATAGTTATTATCGTTTGAACATAGCAACTAGCCATTTCATCAGTCCATCTATCCGTTCATCATTCACCCACCCGTTTACCTATCTGCCTATCCGATCGTCCATCCATTCATCTATCCATCTATCCATTCACCGTTCCGTCCACCCATCCGTTCATTCATTCACGTTCCCTCAGTCCATCTATCCATCTATCCATTC